ATGAGATGTGCTTAACAATTTAAATTTTGAAAAGTGATGTATTCACAGTTGCAAAGGCATGAAATACTCATGCCTTACAGTAATTGAAATATAAAGTAACAATAAATGTCAAAAACTTATGTATACAAGATCTAGATTTACACATAACAAATGAGTGTCTTCTAATCTAAATCATGAAGTTCAAAACTTGGAATATAATAGAAATTTATTTTGCACTTGTAATATTACTTTACAGGATATGGATACCTCAAAAAATTTTCAATGGATATCAATAATGTTGGTCATAGTTAAGAAAGGAATAAACTTGGAGGTGAATCTATACATAATTACCTCCCCTACAGATATATTACCTACCCATAACAAAATATCTGTAAAAGTTCTTAGCATTCACAACAAAATATCTTGAAAGTTCTTAATGGTTTTCAATGTAATTTGGTGGAAGTAAGAAATAGAATAAGTGATAAAAATTTGGAATGGATCCATGAATTTATATAATCACTTCCCCAGCAGTAGTTTTAATAACAATAGCCTTGGTAGTGGTATGTGCTCACTTAGAGCATTTTAATTCAAAGAACTACAGGTTAAGGTGGGTAATGAATCACAAAACAAATAATCAAAACATTTCAGTAGTGTGGATGCCAAGAGTATCTCAAGCATTGCAAATTCTTGCCTCTCCAATGGAGAGAGACAAAAAATTTAGGGCCCTATTGATAATATATACTCATATTTGTATAGAATTTAAATCTCTAGTGGAGAAGAAGTTATTATAAGAGAAATTTACAGAGCTTTTTTCCTTGAGGGAATCAAATTGAATGCCTTTTCAAGTGATCTTTTCTCTGTACAGGTTCTTTTTGCTTAGAAATTAGAAAAAAAAGAGATGTGTTAACATGAAAGAATTTCTTCCAAGTTCAACTCATACAGACTTGGTAAAAATCAATGAAAAAAATAACATGATATCCCTGTAGTACCAACATCAAATGCCATGACATGGCTGCATATAGAACAAGTATTGTTTATACATATAAGCAGTCTTTTACTGTTAGAATAAAACATATGGAACTACATTCAACAAGTCTTATTAAAAGTATAAAGAAACAATCGCCATTGAATGAAACTTACATGTCAATTTGATTCTGTTAAACTTATCTAGGGTAGATCAAAAGTTACTGAAGATTATATTTCTTAATATATTATCTTTTCTTCTAAATAAACCAACTTGAGAAAGTTTATTATAAATAAATTCAAAATGAACAAAAAATAACATCTTGAAAATTTTTTTATAAGAAATTTTCTAAAGAAGAAATTATGCCCCAAATTTCACAACTGTACAAAAGTGCATATTCTGAATGAATACAAATGATATAATGTCTACTACTCTTTTTGCTTCTAATAACAACAAATCAAAAATAGCATAGAATGGTTAACTGGCTCTATTTATTGCTTGTTATGGTTGTCAATTTCCTGTTTGTACATAGCTGAAATAGCAATATCATCCTGTGCAGAAACAATGTTCAAACAATGTATTGAGTATAAGCCATAATAGCAACTAGGTTAGCTGTAGAGTAGATACATAATAGCAGAAGCAGCTGACTGGTACTTTTAAAAACCCATGATTTCAAAAAGAAACTCTCTTTTCTTTTTCCTTCATCTATAAATATGATCACAGAAGCTAAAAAGAAGCACTCCTCACCAGCCTATAGTAAGGAGCATTTTTCTTTGTTCAGAAATATAGACTTTTGAACTCAGACATTTTTATTAACAAAAGGTGAACCTTTCCCTATTTTATGGAATAAATATTTCATAAAATTTAATTTGGTTGTGCATTTGCTTTTGTTCTGTATCATTTTGTTTCAAACATTTTAAACTCCTATATTTTACAGCCAATAAGTGAAGCACAAATAAGAGACACCTACAAATAAATCTTACTAAATTCAGTAAATACAGAAAACTTTCTGGAACCTGATTGGATAGGATGTGCTTTCTATGATGTCTATATAGTTGAACTCCAAATGACCTGAAAATGGGTTAGGGCTCAGGTTATGGAATACATTATTGCAATAAGATTTGTGAGCTAAGCACCAGCTTGCTAAGCCATAAGAATAGCTTGCCATTAACAGCAAAAAGTGGTCGGTGAAAGACAGTTGGTGAAAGACGGTAATAAAAAGCAGTCATTGAAGGACAGTTGTCAAAAGACAGTCAGTGAACAAGACCATGCCTTGATCAACAGCTTAGACAGATGTTACCATAACACATGTCAGTCAGTTTTTTCTACATGTAAAGACTCGATGAAAGTAAGTCCTATATCCACTCATTTTGTTCACTGTGCTTTTTAAAATTACTGCTATCACTTGGAATCAGTCAGCAATCACACACACACATATTGGTGTACCATACCATTTGATTTTTTTCACTTGTAACAAAAACACTTTGAAACTCTGCAGACTCACTTGTGACACGTCATTTCAATTGAACTATAGGTCTCTTCAAGGCCATAACAAAGAACATTGATTTTTAACATATATCTAACTGTATAAATGTCACTGTCATACTTAGTTTGGTTTTCTTCATTTTATGTTGAGATTATTTATTCATGTGTTATTTGTGGACATGACACTCAGATTTTATTTTTCCTCCTAAAATCTGGGTAGAGTGAACTCACAGTGTAAATACTTAGGTAGATATACATACCATACCAATATCAATTTTAAAAAAAAATTAATATTTGTTTGAAACAATCTAACAAAAAATATATCAAGAAGTGATAGTGAAAATTATTTTGTCCTTTAATAACCTAAGGTCTCACACACACACACACACACATATATATATATATATATATATATATATACAACTTTCATCTGTCAGTGTGGCTTTGTTGCACTTAAGGAAGCACAAATAAAATGTCTTTCTCTTACCTGATTTTCTTTACAATAGGCCCTGATAGCATGCATGTGTAAAATAAAAGGCACCATCCACTGTTGATCCTCGTTTATCATTCATGATAGTAGATTCCATTATATATATATATATATATATATATATATATATATATATATAGTGCAATGGTTACATTGTCATTGAAATTACATAAAAATGAAAATAATACTGACATCTCATTTTAACAGATATATATACCAAAATTACACAAAAATATTTTGAAATACTAAAGAGTAAATTTTTCAATGAAAAATTGGTTTCAACCACGGCCTCCAGATGACTTAAGAATCTCCTGCATCTTTTCTGGATTGTCTTCTTGTCTTCATTTTTTGGTTTTTCACTCAACTGTGCCCCACAAGGGGTTACAGTCTGGGGAGTTAGGTGGCCAGATATAAGGAGTGATATGGTTGCAGAAATGTTCTGACAGCCATGACTAGGTTTTCCTGCTTGTTTGGCATGGTGCAGAGTCCTGTGGCCAGACCTAGGGTCTTCCAGCAGCCACCCTCTTGACCCAAGGCAGCACTACCTTCTCAAGGAACTTGATGTAGGAATCTGTGTTGAGTTCTCCCCAACAAATTCAGGAGTTCTTAACAGAATGATCAGAGTGAATTTTCTGAGCTGCCATACCTTCATAATCACCATTAGACTGACTGAACTTTTTTTAAATCCTCTGCACTGTCCACAGATTGACACCCAAACACACTGAAATGTTTGTATTGGAGTTTTCAATATGAATGCTAAGCAGTGCAGCTTCCAAATTTCTGGTGGAGTGAATGGCATCATGCCCAACTGACCCTAATATACTTTGCAGCTGACAAAATCAAAAACTATGTGCATGTGCAAAATTAAAAATATGACAACAATTTACCCATCACACCCTGTATATATATATATATATATATATATATATATATATATATATATATATATATATGACACAAGTCAATAGTCAAATAAAATATAAGCAAAAATGTCATCAGATTTAAAGAGGCAATAAAATAACAATGGCAGATGATTCCAAACAGAATACATGATTTATGTACAAGGAGCTACTGAAAACTCTTGTTTCAATTCATTTCCTATAATCTGACCAAATAATCAAATATCCAGAATTCTTTTTAGAAAAGGTTCTTGGTTGGGTCAAGGACTTTTCAAAATTCCTTTGTATATAGATTAATAAATCAAATTCATATTTCAACCTCAACTTTGGTTAATCTAAAAAATCTTTTTATAATAACCATCTGAATATTTTCTCTATAATTTATGAAATAATAATTTATTGTACAATAAACTTCACCCCTTAATGCCTACTGTCCCCCAAATGGGACTGTGGGCATTAACGAGTTATAGCTGGAAACCTACAATTAATACTGGATTTGTTAATTATATAATATCAGTCCACTTATACAACAGTGAATGCTGTACAATTTCTTCACAGATGAAGAAGAGACTTGAGGTAACAGCAAAGTGGTTCTACAGAAGGATGCTGAGAATACCATGGATGATTTTAAAGAAAATGGAAGCAAAAAGACATTTATACATAGAATCAGAATGAGACAGTTGAAATTTCTAAGGCAGATAATGGGGAAAGAAGCCTTGGAAAACTTGACACTCACAGGACATACTGAATGAAAGATGGGCAGAGGGAAACAACAATTTGCCTACCTAATGGGCTTGTGTGAATAGGTGGCAGAACTGGGAAGAAGAGGGATTGTAAAAAGAAAAACAATGCTCAGTGGGATAGAAAGTTGTGGGGAGCCATGATTGCCCACATCCTGAAAGGACACAGCATATAAGAGAAAAATATAATACCAGATATGTTTTAGAAACCTATAATTAATAGTAGAGTTTTATTTTAATTTTTATAAGTAACAATGGGGATTTATGGGTAAGACATTATTGCATGAAACTTTAGGAAATTGTGTATATATTAAGTTTGCATGTTTGAAATGCATTTCCACTTCATGAATAACAATAAGGATGTTTTAAATTATAAATTGTCTTTTTTAATTCTTCTTCTTCAATGTAGTTACTTATCTTTTTGGAGTTGATCACCACATAATGTTGAAACATTGGTTCCTGTACAATTGCTGAAGTTAAGCAATGTCAAGCCTGGTCAGTACCTTGATGGGTAACCACTTGGGAATACCAGGTGCTGTAATGGATAATGGCTCGGAATTGTTAACTGGAGTTTCAGTGCCAGTTGGGTTCATTATATTCCCTTAAGTGCAAATAACCTTGGGAAAGGTATGAATTCACTTGTTATTCCTCCAGCTATGGGTTAATTAATAAGACTTGTATCATTAAATAATTGTTATCACAAAAAATTCTTACAATCTAAAAATATATTCTAGCTTTAAATAATCTGCAAAGGGTTGATAAGCTATAGAAAATGACTGAATCAATTAATTATCTTTTTAGTGTATAATTAAAAATCCAATGAATTGATTTGAATTGATTAGTCAGTCAGCTAAGTGCCATATGTGCTTGGGCTATCATGTATTTTTTAATACATGACTGACAAGGCAGATGTTTTCCCACAGTAGGTTGCCATCTTTTTCTGTGGTAGACTGGTTACCAACCAAGGCTAAAGAACCCAGTCTGTCCTATAGCTGGGGAAGAGAGCAGATGGATTCATACTTTTCCCAAGAGTATTTTTGTGCAAGTGAATCTAATGAACTTGACTGGAATTCAAACTCAGCTATCTGAGTTTTCACTCTGAGCCAACATCCATTGCACTACAACTTGAAAGGCAGGAAATTAATGTCTTTTTTTCCCACTTCTTTTGACATGTAGCATTTATATATGAACATAGTTTTAAATACCTGATTAGCGGATAAAAATAATTTTTAAGTGTTAGTCAAAAGATATTAAAATTTAAATAACTTCATTATGACTGACATTAGAAAGATGAAACTTTGCAACCTGGTAATGTGATATAAACTTTAAATGTTGTGCAAATTTTATCTTTTTATGTAAATTATAAGCTGACTAAATTCTACTTTAAATTGGTTTCTTCTTAGTTGAAATATGTTTCATTAATAGTATTTAATAAAAATAATTTTAGTTTAGTTTAAAGTTGGTCAACTTTATAAAAGATGTTTTATTAATGTGTCTCTTATAATTTAAAAATTTAATTGTGTTTTATTAAATTTTAATTTATATAGATTTTTATAATAATTCATGATGCACATGTAATAATCAGTAAAAACAAAATGTACTTCTTGTAAAGTGTACCTCACTTAGTTTCTAAGAATCCCAATTCTATTCAAGCCTAGTTTTGCATAAAACCCATCTGTCTGAAATTTCTGCTGAGTAGTCTTGAGTTTGGATTCTATTGTACCCTGTCCCACTTGTAAACTGTTAACTGAAAAGCAGGCCTTCCAGCAATTTTGCTTGTAAATGTGACAAGGGATAGAGACAAATCTTTAGTCATGGAGGATAATTGTACAGCTGGTAAACTGTCTTGTGAGAGGAGTGGATTTGGAAATTGTGGAATGACAGAAATATCTAAGTCTCAGGGACCCAGACTGTCTATTCGTTAGTTGGTTGGTTGAATTTTCTAATTGAACATATAATTGTTGAGAATATATTGCTTGTGTATCTATAAGAAAAGGTGCCTCTCAGGTAATGGATTGGAGATTTTCTCATGACAAAAGGGACAATGACTCTTGAATTTTGAATATCAGAATTCTGTGAAATTACATTGTCAGGTCTGATTGCCATTGGTTCAAGAAACTACTTATCTCAATCTTTAGCTTTAGAATTCACTATATCAGGACAACAAGCGTATTGCTGAAGGTATTGAACATTAAGTTCCTATGTCTCAGTCATGACATTGGCTGTAATGGGTCTGGCCATCCATATGACATTAAAATGAAAATGAATAAAGATTTTTTGTACAGTGACATGAATGAATCATGAAAGTAGTGATGTTACAGATAGCAATATAAGTCAACTTTAATTACTATATAAAATTAAATATGATGAAAAACATACAAGATCTACACTCTGTTCTAATGACGAATGAATGACTAATGAAATAAAAGATTGATGTGAAATATCTAACAAAGTATTTAAAAAAATGAATATGTGAAAAACAAATGGATGTTGAAAATAATGAAAAATCTAAAGAAAAATCATTACCATAACAACCTTGTTATGGTTTAAATATTTATTATATATTAGAATATTTTAAAATTAACCACATGAAATATATGTGTTTACCTTCTATTATACATCATTGATAATGGTCACTATGAACACAACACTGAAAATCTGGCATGCAGTTGCATAAAAATTGCACAGATTGACATATCTACACCAAAAACAATAACCTGTCTGGTGGCAAAAGCCTATGAATTTGTTTATCCAGTTGCACTGTTGTTTTTTCTTGGGACTCCCGATCTTTGCCTATCCTTATATTGTCGAGTATCCTGGTAAAGCTTCCAAGCCTGAACACAAGCTGTTTTGTTGCACTTTAATTGCTTGCTTATGTTCATAAAGGAAATGTTTTGTTAAAGAGGTAATACTATTTTTGATCTAGTTACTGGACTAAGAATACAATGCTTTCCCATAGGAAATTAATTGTATCACAATGCTCAGTTATTACACTATATAAAGCATTAATGACCAGCCATGTAATCACCCATTTAGCAAATAATTTGCATAATACCCATGTGGTCTTAAACTTATTTTGCTGACAAATTTGGAAAATTTAAATTAATCCAACATTAATATTTTTCAAGTTGTAGAAAAATATATAAGTCAAAAGAGAAATAAATTCTGTATAAAGCGTACACAATAAAACTAATTAATATTGTTTTATTAGAAACATATTCTGAAATGAATAAAACTTTAACCATCAGTCTTAAACTTATTTCTGCCACTGTATATGATTCCATCGTTTGAAGAAGTCCTTTCAAAGAATGAAACATGTAAGTTAGGATTTTTTTCCATTTTGTTATTAAAATAGATAGGCACTAATAAAAACACTAATTTTGTACATTTGCTGCAGAGACGTCATTATAACAATAAAAAAATATTTCAAATTTTTAAAAGCCTGAAGTAAATAAAAAATTTCAAGACAAGCAAAGACGTGGATTGAAGTTGCACATTCTGAAAAAACTTTTAGAATTCACCGACCTTTCATCCCTTAAAACTCATGAGGACAATTATGTATGCAAATTAGTAGCTTCCAGTGCCAAGGAAAAAACAGAATGACTGGTTAGTTCGATAAGATTTATACTAAGCTGTTTGACTAATTCCTCTTTATAACTAATCAACTAACAGAAAATTCAAAAAATGAACAAGATGTTGATTATATTAAGTACATTTGAGTTGCATGCCTAATCACTAGCAGTGTTTCATTCATTTTGACATGTTGATTATCAGGACAATTGTTTTCTTTTCATCACAAGACAAGCAAAGACATGGATTGAAGTTGCACATACTGAAAAATTTTTTTAGAATTCACCGACCTTTCGACCCTTAAAATGCATAAGGACAGTTACATATGCAAACTACTATCTTCCAGTGCCAGGGAAAAGAACAGAACAGTCATATCCACAATGCTGTATAACCAAATTTGTTTTTAGGTTAGAACAATGCGACTTAGACATGTTGAAACCTAATGTAATGGATAAGAAAAATACAAATAACATCCCAGTCCTACCCATTGGTAAATACGTTTTCTGGTGTCAGATTGAACTCCATGTCAGCTATAGCCTTTTTTTTCTCTGTTTTTTTTTTTGTTGTTGTTGTCGTTTGTGTTATATGTAATAGGAGTAGGTAGGCTTTCCTACCGTCCAGTCATTACTCCTCCCCCTTCTCTTGGACATGAGTAGAGGCTCACACCTTTTTCTTGTTTAGGAAGAGGTTCCCAGAACTCTCCCTCTTTTTCTCTCTGGCCTCTGTACTAGTGCTGCCACGTTTCTCCATGATGCGTGCAGTCTGTGGCATTACCTCTTCATTCTGAGGGTACCCGGTTGACAGTTTTCTGGTTGCTGATTCCAACTGGTAGTTAGGAGCCCTAACTCTTGCATAGCATCTTGAGCAGCTGCTCTGATCAACAGTTGCATAATACCGGGGTGTCTATAGTGCCATGTTGCACATGGATAGGTGTCCCTGCATTCACCTCCAGTGGGCAATCCTGAGGCCACATTATGTTGCAGGCTGTGCCAACTTCTCTCTGCCCACCACACGGTCGATAACCATCTGCTTCTTTTACTTCAGGCCTTTTCATTTTTACAACCACAATTTCACATGATAATTAACAACGATCCAAAAAGAAGACCTAAACCAGCCCCTAAAAAATCACCTAAACCCTTTAACATTTCATTTTCCAACATCCGTGGCATTAGAACCAATTTCTGCAGTGTGGAATCTCTCCTCATTGCGAACTGCCCAGATATACTGGCTCTGTGTGAGACCAACCTTGATTCATCTATCCCCTCCTCTGACCTCTCAATTCCTGTCTACCTTCCCCTCCTTAGAAAAGACTCTCAAACTCGCATGCATGGCCTTGGAGTTTACATCAAGGACCATCTCCTGCTGGCTAGAGAGTTGTCTCTTGAATCTCCAAACTATTTGTACATGTGTCTCCGACTATCTCTTCTCAATGCTGTAAGATACCTCTTCTTCCTTTATTGCTCACCATCCTTCCAAGACTGTGGTATAATTGAATGCATTTCTGACAGCATTGACAAGACTCTCTCTCTCCATCCGTTTGCTCACATATTCATGTTTGGTGATTTTAATGCCCAATCATACCAAATGGCTTAAAAATGCTACTACTGACCTTGCAGGCCTTATATTTATAGAAAAGGCACAGACAGACAATCTTATGGTGGTGGGAGAGTGACTGAAGCTCAGTTACCAGATCAGGACTGATAATATTGCTGATTCTTCTTTGGATTTTATCAAGGAGCTCAAGGTAAATACCAGAGTCCAAACACTTTAATCTTAAACTTTGTGGTCCAGTAACTCACACAGTTCTTGCACTTTGAATCAGCTGCCATTAGTCAATTGAGTAGCAACAAGTGTAGCATCACACATTGCTTATAACTTTCAGCAGAATGTTTTGGTGATATGGCCTTGCTTATTTTTTATATATAGTTGCATATTTATTCATTAAGGATAGTAAGTATATATTATTTCTTT